CAACCAACCAGATGGCTTCCCGAACCCGAAGGTTCATCACCGAATTAACCAAAGCCCTCTACCGGACCCTGTCCTGGGCCAACGAAATCCAGTCTCCTTCAACTCCTATCTCCCATAGATCCCGTCTGAGATTATCCTCCCATCTACGTCTAGGTCTCGCCAGCGGTCTCTTCCCCTCAGGCTTCCCCAATAGTGGACCCAACCAACCAGATGGCTTCCCGAACCCGAAGGTTCATCACCGAATTAACCAAAGCCCTCTACCGGACCCTGTCCTGGGCCAACGAAATCCAGTCTCCTTCAACTCCTATCTCCCATAGATCCCGTCTGAGATTATCCTCCCATCTACGTCTAGGTCTCGCCAGCGGTCTCTTCCCCTCAGGCTTCCCAACCCATACCCAGTGCACACCTCTTGTCCCATCCATGCGCGCTACATGCCCAGCCCATCTCATTCTCATGTGAATCATAGTGAATTAAAATTCCTGTACTGAACGTATAAAACGGAGCTGTAAATTCTGTATTTTTTCAGTGGTGATAGTCGATTCGAAATCTTTTCTCCTTTCTAAAGCCCTAAATCTGCCTTACCCTTTGTGGTTTTATGAACTGTCGCTTCATATGGTGCCATTTATCACAGCTGCGCGATCGTGCTCCCAGGCACTAGCAGCCTCTGTTGAAACAAGAAATGACAATTGACCCAATCTTGAACAGCTGTGGAGTCTAATCAGTGCCACCACATATTTTCATTTCTCCCGCTCGACCCAAATTAAGCACAGCTACACATTTTAATGCTCTATTTTGTGTAAAGCCTACGAATTAGGAAGCTGTCCTCTTGATGCGTGCTCCTGTCAGGTTTCGAGTGGACAGTTAATCGAATTGCATTGACGTTCTGTATGCAATATCATATCGAGGTATCCTCAGTTCCCTTTTTAAAAAGTCTTCCGGCATTGAGCTGTTTTTAAAAGCAGTTCATTGTTCTTTGTAGCTTTTATCGTCAGTAAGTGTAGGTTTTCAAAATAATGGGATTGTTTTGTGAATATCGTATATATCAATAGTATTGATGTCCAGAATATGCCCTGCTATCCGAATACATGAATTTAAAATTCGGCTTTCGATGGAAAACGCAGGTTTTACGAGACATGAAGTTTTCGCTGTAGTGAAGATCTGGCTATTGGCATATTCTGATGATGTTAATTTATTGGGGGACGATATAAATTCAATAAAGAGGAACGCAGAAGTTTTACTAGAGGCTGGTAGACAAGTGGGGCTAGAAGTAAATTCAGAAAAAACCAAGTACATGTTAGTATCTCGTCGTCAGCAGACAGGCGGGCAGAATTATCTTAGGGTAGCTAATAAGTCCTTTGAAAGGGTTACAAAGTTCAAATATTTGGGAACAATAATAACAAATAAAAATGACACTCATGAGGAAGTTAGGAGGAGATTAAATTCTGGAAATGCTTGCTACTTCTCAGTTCAAAATATTTTGTCTTCCCGTCTGATTTCTAAGAACCTGAAAATTAAAGT